ACGTGTCTCAATTCCTCGGTCGCCGACACTCCGGATTATCCATGATGGAGTCTAGGCCTTGTTGTGTCCATATGTGCATTCATTTCATATTGAATCGTGCAAATCGACTCCTCGGCCATCATGCATCGAGATGCGTGATTGGTGGCACGAGGATCAAGGACTACACTCCCTGAAGAGTGGTCATGCATACATGTGTGAAAATACATTGCCATGCCCCTTTCCTGTTCTCTATTGCAGCAAATCAAGAATCAGCAATCTTCCGAGGCTTGGCGCGCTTTCCAAAAAATATTGCAAAACAGAGGCTAATTGGGGCATCACAGTGGATTTCCGTGCAAAGGCGACCCGGACATGCATCATCCATCATCTGGAGAAGAGTCAAGACAGTCCCTGGATTGCATGCCAGTTTATTATCTTTCTTAGTTAATTTGTAAATTAATTAGGAATCTGTATTATTTGGACTGTACTATTTATTCGGACTCTCTGCGCGAGGGCACAACTGTAATAAGTGTGCGTGCGTGTGATGTATGTCTTCCAACCCCACGTCTTTCTAACAAGATAGGGGCGGACATGGATCCCATTTGTAGAAGATAAATTGATCATTGGTTGTGTGTGAAATTTTATTAGATTTTGATGTTTGATTCACTCCATGGAAGAACCTGTTTGCATTATGCTGCTTTCTATGGCCATCTAGATTGCCTACAAGCTATTCTTTCTGCTACCCTTTCCACCTCTGTTGCACATTCCTGGTGACCCTCTCTCTCTTTCTCTCTCTCTCTCTCTACACACACACACACACTATGGATCTAAAAGTTATTAAAGCAAGGCAAAGTGGTTTCTAGAAACAGAATTTGTACTACTGCAATCTGGTCACCTTTGGAGATTTGCCATTTGTAACACAACTTTTAGATTTCCTCTATTTTTCTTTCCATTATTAATCATCTTTTTTGTTTGTCAATATTTTCCTTCAAAACATAGAGAGAGTTAGAGGGATAAAGATTATGGTTTGCATATTGTCAGTGTCACAGGATTCTGGCTTGATATTTTGCAAAGTTAATCCATTTCAATGTATATCTTTATTTACGTAAATGCGTAGTTATTTTATTCCTCTTTCTTTCCTTGCATTTAATTTCAATCCCAACATTGCCTGCACTATAGATGGGGTTATTTGTACACTGTAGGTGGAGTGGACGAAGCGAAAAATAGGATAGTTCTACTCACATTGCATATTCTTTGTTGGTTTTGATTGCTAATATATTTTAATGTCTTTTTGATCATATATATTTTAATGTTGAGTAACTACTTTTTTACTTGAATGGAAGCATGTGCAGAAAGTCAATAGGCCCATCATGACTTGTGTGCTGTGACTACTCATTTTGGCAGATCATGATCTGTTTATCATTGTTGTTTATTTATTTATTTCTTTGGATAAGCCACTGTTGTTTTAAAATGTATGATAGACTGCAAATGGCAAATGTTGTAAATGGTAATGTATTATTTTGCACAATTGCCTATTTTAAGCTAATAGGAGTCTAGTGTTGTGTTCTCCAGCTAATAATCATTGAACTTGTTAATGGTCTCCAACATTTCAGGGTTCACATGGCTTCATGACATCACATAAATGGCGTGACACAATTGGAGCTTTTATAAATGTTGAGGCATCTGGGACAGGAGGCCTAGGTAGGATTCTATCTGCAGCTTGCCCTCTTTTGCTAATATTGTTAAATTATTTATACCATGCTTGTGATATATATTTCTGGGACTGCAAAGTGCTTCTTGGTAGACCTTGTCCTTTTTGGTGGGTTATAGGGATTGATCAATAACCTCAAGCTCAATGCTTTAACATAAATAAATAAATAAATGTGCTAGCTTACTTGCTGTAATAGCAATAATGATAAAAATTCACTTGTTCAACATTGTTAATTTCTAGTTGAAAAATGACTGTACAAAAGTACGTAGTAACCAGACTATAATAGGAAGTAGCTATTATTTCTGGAAAACATAAAGAAGGTTTTTCTGTCTTTCTAAGGTTATATATATGTTTGGGAGGTGGAATTGGATGGTTTGATGTATAGTTACAATTGCTATTTTCTATTATTGTGAGGGGTTTTGGGGTTTTATGAGTGGATTTGGGCTTCTTATGTATATGTATATGTATATGTTTTGATCACTTTTGATCCATTTTACTGAACTGGGTGATGGGAAATCACGGATATTTGCTGAACTGAATTTCAGAAAGTTCCTCAACTTATGTAATAAGAATTTGGTCTGTGGTTCACTGGAGTGTAATAATTCCAAGACAACTAACTTTGGTTATATTGGCTTATTGTTTTCTCTTCCTGAATCAAACCCTTTAAAATCTTGTTTGCATTGTTTGTGCAGATGAATACCATCAATAAACATGCCTAATCACTAACGCTTGCACTTATACGAGCTACCATTGTGCTTCCTAAAAATCTGGAAGTTGAAAATACACTGAACTTTCTTATTTTTGTTTCAACTTAATACTTGAGGAGGTCATTTCTTAAATTCTCAAATTCTCACTATTACCATTGTCATATTTCTTTGATAGTGCTTTCATCCTTTTTGTGCGCCGCTGATCCACTGCTCTCAGTTTTTGATATTGCTATTTTGATTGCAATTTTAAGTACCATTTATGGGTTATGGCCTGACCACTAATACAGATGGTTGAGTTAATTGATGGAAATTGTCTATTGATTGTCTATTGATTTTATAGTTTGTCTACTTATCTACTCTGCTTCCTCAATTCCTGTGATTTGCATAATTCTCCTTAGTTAGTGTTAGTCTATTTTCATAGTTCTCATACCATGCTTGGAGTATATTGGTTTGGCATGTGTCTAGCAATCCATGATTTGTTTTGCTCTACCTAATTTCTTACTGCATAGAGAAATGTAATTCTATTTATTAGATATAGTTGTGCTACCTGTAATTTTCTTTTCTTTTCCCTTTATTTTCATTACAGTAATGAATACCCCTTGTGAGAGAGCTGAGTACACTCTAAAACTTTATCTCTCCCCCTAAATTGTGGACCCTCTTTCTTGGAAAGTTTAGTACACTAGGTCGGTTGGTGTACCCATGGCATATGAATTTTTTGTCTCCCACTCCCTTGTGAGAATATTTAAAATACTCGGATCCACCAAATATGACAAGGGTATGAGTGTGAATGTGTGTCCGACACCGTATTTAATTTGAACACTTCGATTATGTAATTTTTTTTATTATATTTGAATAAGAACTCACAGTTCTTAGCAATAGAATACTTTTATAGATAAAAGATAGAAATTTCATATTTTTCTCCTAGATTCTATCTAATGTCATATACATGTCTACATAATTTATAATATTACATAATATGTAATATATATACATATATATATGTGTGTGTCTATGACGCATCCTTGTAACTATATTTAATAGTTAGATACATATTTCAATGTCATAAGACAAGGGTATGAGTGTGAATGTGTGTCCAACACCATATTTAATTTGAACCCTTCGATTATTTAATTTTTTTTATTATATTTGAATAAGAACTCACAGTTCTTAGTAATAGAATATTTTTATAGATAAAAGATAGAAATTTCATATTTTTCTCTTAGATCCTATCTAATTTCATATACATTTCTACATAATTTATAATATTGTATAATATGTAATATATATATATATATATGCATATGTGTGCGTGTGTGTCTATGACGCATCCTCGTAACTATATTTAATATTTAGATACATATTTCAATGTCATAAGATTTAAATTCTTGAAGATTTGATACTTGAACACTGTACCCGAATCCATGTCTTTACATTGTTGGTTCCAATATGTATATATAATTTTGAAAGCAAGTGTTCACTTCTTTGTTCCGATTGCCTAATTTTCTTAGTATCTATTATTTCTAAATTACTATTGCATATAAAACTACCTCATCACATTCTGACCATGTGATCTAAATCAGCCTACTTCAATTGCCAAATTTTCTTAGTATCTACTATTTCTATACATTACTGTTATATTTTCCTAACTGCCTCTATCTTTGGATATTTATAGACTAGATTAAACCATTATAGCTTAGGCATAAGCAAATTGGATCCATGTTGGTCTTCAGCCCACCTTCTGATAGCAGCCACAGAACTTTGAGTTGAGAACATGGAAGCAAGATCAAAGAGTTGAAGAAGAAATATGTTACAAGAAATGTGATCAATATAAGAAGAAATGCTCCCAATTTTAAGGTTTTCATTCTCTCTCTAGCCAATCTCTTTATGTAGACAGTGTATTATAGTGCTTGATATGAAGCATATTTCAAGTTTTAGCTATATATAGATCTCATGGTGGAAAAAATACATTGGAGACTTCAAATATTTTAAGTTAGTGTTTCTACAAGTTAGGATAGCAGCCATAGACTATTGTGTTAAATAATAACTAAAAGCCCCATTATTAGTCTATGAGTTGCACTATAGAGTTTTACGTGTACTTGACATCACAATTTCCATAACCATTAAAACACTCGGCAGCAAAACAAAGCGAGCAGCAGCAAGGCAAAGACACACTCCCACACAGCACCTGGGCAACTATTCATAGCAACTAAACTAAAGCAAGCACAACACAAACTAGAATTTATAGACATTAACAGCAGGCAGACACGGCACCTGGATAGATTTACACAGCAAATCACATGACACTCCAGTAGAATGTGTAGACAGACCACCAGAGTTTAGCCTAATCAGTTCCATATTTGAGGCACCAACACAAAAACAGTAAACAACTCCATTCTACATAAAGAAATACAACAATATCTAATGCTATCAGGTTGATTTAGACATTCTCCACATATTTGTCATATGTGCTTCTATCTACTATGGTTTATTGATGACTTGTTATAAATAAACTCACTATTTTGTTATTGTAATTGTGCAGCATGTCCCTAGAACTAATGGAGAAATACCGAAGCCAATTTTTGTTTTTTGTTTTTTGTTTTTTTTTTTTTTGTGCGCAAACTTATATTAAAAAAAAAAAATTAGATCATTTTACACTAGATGGACCTGATATGTAAAAATTTCGACTCAAATTTGAAAGACAAAGGACAAAAAAGACTGGAAAAAAAATGTGGTTTTGTTTTTGCTGATTCAATACTCACCCCCAAGTAAAGGTTTCTTTACATAGATGATAAATTGTTTAAAGGAGTTGAACATTACCTGGTGCATCCTCAATAAAGTCTATGCAGTTCCCTTCTATAGGTTTTACTGGAAGGGGCCTAGTCCCAAACCGGGGCTCTTCAGGCACCTTTGCAGTCAATGAACGTACTGAAGCAGCAAACTTTGATCCATTAGTTGGAAGGAAAGTTTGGACAAGGTGGCCTGAAGACAATAACTTCTATGAGGCGGTTATAACTGACTACAATCCTGTTGAGGTATGTCTGGTTGTTTGTTTGTTGAAAGATTTTTCTGTATTTGATGGGCATGTAATTTAACTTGCTTTTTTCAAAATTGCCAGGGCCGACATGCTTTGGTTTATGATATTAGTACAGCAGATAAAACATGGGAATGGGTCAATCTCAAAGAGGTAAAAGATGGCCCTTTCTCTGAATTTACTTGCATGGCCTACATTCCTCCTGGTTAATCTTTTCTTGCATGATCATAAACATCCAAGAAATTTTGATTACAATATATTAATGCTTGAAATTTGAGGAACAAAAACGACTGTATCTACTCTAGTATCTATGCATCTTGTTCTTGTGCCTTTGTGTGGATGCTAGCTTCATGTTTGTTATCTTTCTCTCTCTTTGCTGAATTGTTAATTGGTTACTTTATTGACATCATTTTTCATATTTTCATTGTTACCACCAAGTGATAATCTGGTTGAACAACAGAATATAGTAGTGTGAATTGTAGCTTACATATTCTTCAAGTAGAAAATGCTACATTGTGAAGCTTCTTTATGATGTCAAATTCTAATGGTCGTAGAAAACAAATTGCATCTAGATACCTACAGTTCTATAGGTTGGTGAAGTAAGTTCGAAAAATTGAGTTCTATAGATACCTAGAGTTCTATAGGTTGTTTATAATGGATTTTTAGAATGTAACTTGTTTATGGCCTTGTAAAATTTTATATAAAAAAAAAATAAAAAAATAAAAAAATAAAAAATTGAATTTCTTCTTTAAATTTGAGACAAGTGGTTGTCATTTTAATGTTTTAAATAGTGAAGCAAACATTCTGGGTATGCTCATTGCACTAAGAAACTGTGAACTTTGTGTTCAACCTTTTTGTAGTGAATACCGTGATATAATATGAGAGGGTAATTTGTAAACAAATTAGGCCGAGCTAGGAAGAGTCTTCTTTGGGAGTTGGACCGCGTAATGGGCCGAGATAAGGGCTGGTGTAGCTCGGTCTTAGGCCAAGAAGACATCTCATATTTTGGGTTTGGGCCGAACTATGGACCGAGGTATCGGTAGAAAGAGGACCGAGCTAAACGATAGCTCTACAGGGCGTCATCTCGAAGTCAAGACTGATAGTAGTGCTTAAAGTATCACAGAGCCGAAGTAACTTGCCTGACCGCAATGTTAGCCGAGGTAAAGATGTCAGCCGAAATAAGTGGGCCTGGTGGTTAGCCGAGGTATTGGTGAGAAAGGATGTCGGGCTTGGTATAGCTCGGCCGGTCTTGGTATAACTCGGCCGGGCGTCATCTACATCATTACTTAAGCGTCTGACCGAGGTAACTTAGCTCGGTGTGGTTGCAGCAGCCTATTAAAAGGAGGTAGCATCAATGGAGAGGGCCGAGCTATGTATAGCTCGGCAGTGTGGCATCCGTTAGATCGACTTTCGATCACACGGTCCGAAGGGCAGGGAACCAAGATAAATCAGTTCGGGCAGGAATGTATAACCGAGATAAAAGGTTAAGCCATCTCACTTGGCTTGCAGTGATGAGACTCTTAGTAGGACTCTACTAAGGAGAGTTAGAGTCCTACTAGGATTGTGTAAACCATCTCACTTGGTTGGTAGTGAGTAGGAGTATGACTCCTAGGAGGACTCTGTAGAAAATGCTACATTGTGAAGCTTCTTTATGATGTCAAATTCTAATGGTCGTAGAAAACAAATTGCATCTAGATACCTACAGTTCTATAGGTTGGTGAAGTAAGTTCGAAAAATTGAGTTCTATAGATACCTAGAGTTCTATAGGTTGTTTATAATGGATTTTTAGAATGTAACTTGTTTATGGCCTTGTAAAATTTTATATAAAAAAAAATTGAATTTCTTCTTTAAATTTGAGACAAGTGGTTGTCATTTTAATGTTTTAAATAGTGAAGCAAACATTCTGGGTATGGTCATTGCACTAAGAAACTGTGAACTTTGTGTTCAACCTTTTTGTAGTGAATACCGTGATATAATAAATGTGGTGCTTTTTCGTATATTTTTTCTATTTCTAGAACAAAAGAAAAAAAAGGGTGTTTTTAGCTTTATTAGTCATGAGTACCTACGTTTTTATTTTTTGTATCCACTTTGAAGCAGATGGAGATCATCAGTTGCAAGGCCAATCAATGGACCAAGAGCGATGGAGAAAACAGCAGTACGATGATCATACTGGAGAAGGTAATAGGGTAGTTGAAGGTTCAGACGCCAACAAGATGGCTACAGATGGAAGAGTTGGTTCAGGAGGCGAAAATGAAAAACAGCACCCGAACCACTGTTTTTATTCCTGTATTATGTATGGATTTAAATTATTGACGTTGGATTAGACTTGGAGTGTATGGAATTTGTATTATATATAGAATTGGACGTTGAAGATTAATTTTTTGGATGCTTGGAACTGAAATGTGTGCACCTTGTTGAATGCTTTAATGGTTGATAATATATTTTAGTGTTGATGGATTATATTGTTTATACAGGGTGCAGGTTGTACTAATAATGAAGACAGGTTATTTACAAATTTTTTTTTAAAAAAAAAAAACCAAAACAAAAAATTATTTGGCCACCAAATGTTTTGGTTGCCAAATAGGTAATCAAAAGTTTTGGCTACTAATAATTTAGTAGCAAAAACATAACCCAAAACGTTTTTGCGACCAAATAATTAGTAGCTAAAACAATTGAGAATGAGAGAAAGAAACTATTGGCCGCTAAATTTTTTTGTCACGGAAAAAAAATGGTATCATTTGGCGACTAAAATGTTTGGTGGCAAAAAGTGAAGAAGTGAATGTTAAGAGGCTTTTGGCTATGAAACTTTTAGTGGGCAAAAGTAACAACGACAAAAATTATTTAGTCGCTAAAAATATGTATTCTATTGGTGACCAAAATTTTTGGTCTATAATAGTCATTCTCATTTTATGGTAGCACTTTTAGTGACTAACACTTTAGTCACCGAATGCACCTTTTGCCGACTAAATAATGTTTCGTACCCAAATGAGTACTTTCAGTGACCAATTATTTAGTAGTTAGAAGTGACACTTTTCCCGACCAAACCAACTTAGTAACCAAAAAGCCTCATTCGGCGACTAAAGGTTTTAGTGGCAGAAACATAACATTTGCCGACTAAACTAAATTTAGTAGCTAAATGTAGTCACTTCCGGCGACCAAACAAAGTTTAGTCGCCAATACTATCGCCGACAGGGTAAAGGCGACGAGTTTGGCGACAAAATATTTTAGTCGCTAAATTATTTCAGCGACCAAAAATTGGACTTTTGGCAACCAATATTTTGGTAGCCAAAAGTGACATTTCTTGTAGTGATACCCTGTCGGCGATAGTATTGGCGACTAAACTTTGTTTGGTCGCCGAAAGTGACTACATTTCGCTACTAAATTTAGTTTAGTCGGCAAATGTTATGTTTCCGCCGCTAAAACCTTTAGTCGCCGCCGAATGAGGATTTTTGGCTACTAAGTTGTTGTGGTCGGGGAAGGTGTCACCTTTAGCTACTAAATAATTAGTCGCCGAAAGTACACATTTGGCTACGAAACTGTATTTAGTCGGCAAAAGGTGCATTCAGCGACTAAAGTGTTAGTCACTAAAAGTGCATTGGGTTATGTTTTTGCTACTGAATTCTTAGTCACCAAAACATTTGATTACGTATTTAGCTACCAAAATATTTGATGGCCAAATACTTTAACGTGTTTTTTTTTTTTAAAAAAAAAATTCTAAACAACCTGTATCCATTATTAATACAACCTGTACCCTGTATAAACAATATAATCCATCAACGCTAAATATGTTATCAAGCATTCAACAATGTGCACACATTTTAGTTCCAACCATCCAAAAAATTAATATTGAACGTCCAATTTTATATTTATTACAAATTCCATAAGAACCAGTCTAATCCAACGTCAATAATTTAATAATACAGGAATAACCAACTACTCCCACTACACATTTTAGTTCCAACTATCCAAAAATAAGTACTAATAAGTACAAGATGTCGTCCTGGCATCACTATAAGCTCCCATTGTTCGAGTCCTTCCATAAAACCCTTAGACTGGAAGGGGCCAACTACTCCCACTCGCCCATCCCCTTCGTCCACTGCTGCTGGCACCTGCAGAACCATTGCATGAATGTGAAATCAAGTGCATGTCTAATAAAAATATAGAAATACATATTCATAGTGTCCTCGATCCAATTACACAATGTAAAATTACTGCATAGGAAAAAAATAAAAGACGTGCTTACCTGCAGTACCATGGAAGTTGAACCCATCATCCCAACCAGGCAAATGCCTTTCTGCATTACCTTTCCAAGATTGTTTTCTGGGTGGAGCAAGCAGACAACAGAGTGCATCAGCCAGAATGTAACCAACACGCACAACAAAAAACAGCCACTATAAACAACTAGGCATGTTCTTGATCATAACAGCAAGCAAGGACTTATATGGAGCAATCATATCCCAAACACAAACATGCAGACACCAATATGTTTCTGAAATATAACACTAATCAATGAGAGTGTTCATCACAATAATCATAACTTTTTTTTATCACAAAATATTATAACATAAATCACAAAGTATTATAATATTACCATTCAAAACTTTATAGTGCATATAAGTTTATTATTCGTAATTTTATCACAAAATATCATAACACCACAAATATTCATAACTTTCACACAAAACATAACTTTCATACAATGTGCACAATTTTTAGGGTGGACGACGTAAATTTATCAATTTCTCTTTTATGTTTTCTCCTAAATTGTCTAAATAAGAAAAAATATATACCACTAACCTTTCTTTTCTTTTGTTGTTTTTGCCCTGCAGCCTATTTTCAAAATATAATTCAATCAAGTTTTTCAAAAAGAGACAATAAAATTTCTAAATATGCTGGATGCCTTCTACATAAATTTGAAAAAATTCACTTCTTTGGTTGTGGTGTTGCCTTGCCAAACACGAGAAAAGTATTTTTGTACTAGGGCTACATATCCTGAAAAATCTCACTCCAACTGATATTATAACGAGCAGTCATAAATCAAAACTAATGGTGAGATGACCCATTAGAAAACCTAACTTAAAATATAATCTCACTACATATCCTGATGTATAATGGCCTCTGCACAATGAATTACTAAGCACCCATAAATGAAAAATATTGTTAAATGGCCTGACATAAGAAGAACTGTTTCAGCTATTCTACATATTAGCTTGAAACACTTATATCACAGGCCAAATATATATATATATATATATATATACACATTAAAATTTCCAATTTGGAAATTTTAAAGGGGGTGTGCATATCCATTTGCTTGAGGTAAGCAACCAAACATTCTTATGTACCTATTTTAAAATTTTTAGGATTCTGGAAGTATGGGACCATGTACCTATATCATATTTATTACAGAAGTATGTTGAGTTACCCATCAAATCAAGTTCAATCCCACTGCTACAATCCAAACTTTTTAAAGAAAATATGATGTAATTCCCTCTATAACTAAAACCATGCTCAAATTAGAACCCTTAACATGTTTAATTTTTATTGCACAGTTGGGGCTCATAAATGGGATAAAGGATAATCCAACTCCAACCATATTTTCAATCACCGACCACAAGTTCCTCCTAATTTCAAACCTTCCCAAGATCGCTCACTATACCCTATTGAGATAAATGAATTTTTAAGCATAAGCCATAATTTCAACGGTAGGGTCCTGGAACACCGGGTAACTAACCAGGTCAGATCACCAAGCCATCTATTATGCTTAAATGTTTTTGTAGAACCAGAACAAAATGAAGACACTCCAAAAAAAAAAAGTCTAGAATCAGTCATTTGTGCATACCCGTTAAATGGCCCTAAAAAAAGAATGGAAACTAATGAGAATATTGTCGTATATGCGGCTACTGATAAAGCAGTCAAATTTCTTTAGGATTAACTTATGATTCACCTCAGAATTTGGAGCCAGTAACACACTTGACTAGGAACAACATTAAAACAGACAAAATTAAAAATGTGAGTGTGTATTTGTATTACTTGCCTTTAACCCTGCATCAGGTGAAAAGATGCATTTTGATGTGATAGCTTGCCCTTGATCTAATAGCCATCCCACCCCACAGCAAGTTTGACCATCTTCTCTTTCCTTCAGTGAACTCCACAATTGCTTTGGAAGCAATACCAGATTTTGGTCGTCTCTCACTGACTTTTGCACACTGTTATCTAATAGTTCTTGCAGCACATTCTGAAACAATTGAAATTTGAAAACAATTAACGAATCAGGCTACCTTCAGTGACTGTGAGAGTGATAACAATCTCTGCACCACAATCCTGTTCCTTAGCAGGAGAATATTCAGAAGAAACACTAGGTCAAGCCACAAAACTCAATTAATAATTTAATTCTTGTCAATCACCTCCTCTTCCTTAGCTCTTCTTGCTTTCTCTGCCTCCTCAAAGGCATCCTTTTCAATCTGAAATTTCATAAAGATAAAAACTTGCAAATTAGATAATATAACTATCAAATCAACTATAAAGAGCAATTCACATGATAAAAACTTGTAAATAAAATATTTGAGTGATTCTCACCAACCTTTACCTGCAATGCAATAAAAGTGCTTCAATAATTCCAGGCAAAGCTAAAAAATTTACAATGAAAATGAACTAATTGTAGTTGGTAGCAACTCTTAAAGGGCCCACAATTTGCTAAAAACCAGATTAGAAAAGTTCAAAACAAATAGGGTCAGCATTTTCTTCTTCCTTTTTGGAAAAAAAAAAGGGTATTCAGACCGATGACATGAACAACTTTGTCAAAAAAAATAAAAAATCAATAAAATTGGCCAAAGTCCTGAAACTAACAATGAAGCATTGCAACCTTTTTACTTCATAACAACAGAGGTTCACAGACTCAGCTTGAATCAGAAAGTGCAAGATCATAGACCCAATTAGAAGAACAAAGAATTAAAAGATACAACAATTGACAAAAGAAAAGAAATGGGGATTAGAAAAAACTATCATTGATGTACTCCTAGAATTGCTAATTTAACTACTCTAAACTAGAAACTAATGTCACAATTTGTGAGTGGTTTGATTGATGATCTCTTTCATTCTTCAAACCCTCCTTTTATACTTGCTTGATCATCCCCCAATGCAGTTTTTTTCCATGATTCTCCTTAATCTTCTACTCCTTTACATCTTTATCCCTTTATTCTAGGGAATTTTTTGCCAAATTTCTTATTTGACTTGGTCTTCACTCCTTTGATTCTTGGCAACAAACCAACTGGCTTTTAATAATCTGTCGATGGAAAAATTTTGAGATTTTAGTGTCAACAATATCATTTGAGAGATTTTAGTGTGGAATAGGATTTATAGGTTCATAAAAATATTTATAGGACTAAATGATTCATAAATTATGAAAATAAAATTTATTAATAAGTATTCCTAAAAAAATAATTAAAATGCGAATTAATTTTTTTTTAAAAAGTTATTTTAAAAAATTCAAAATCAAACATGTTAAAGGTGTTTTTGAAAGTCAAGATAAAAGCCACGCGTGTGGTTGGTGAAAAACTCCAGTCAGATTGTACTAGGATCCTCTAGAGTGGGATTTCCTGAAGTGAGTGATCAAGTGGATCAAAATAAAATTAATCAAAACGATGTCGTTTTGGTTAGTAATTTTTTAAAAATAAATAAATAAAAAAATAATCACCATGCTTGTTTTCACTTTTTAAAAAATACTTTTCAAAAAATTTTAATTTCTTATTTTTCATGTTTTTTTGGTTTTACTGAATTTTTTTAATATTTTAAGCATTTTTTTTACTTTTTAGACACCCCTAACATAAATACACCTAAAAAGTAAAAAAAATTGTAAAAAAAATTTTTAAAAGTTCACTAAATACCAAAAATACAAAAAAATACAAGAATTCTGTACATTTTTTATATTTTTATGTATTTATTAATTTTTTAAAATATTTTTTCACAAATTTTTTACTTTTTAGATACATCTAAGTAAGGTGCATCTAAAAAAGTAAAAAAAAATATTTAAAATTTTAAAAACATTCACTAAAAACAAAAAAACACAAAAACCAAAAAAATTAATTTTCAAAAAACTTAATCTAAATAATTCAAACCAAACCCTAATTCAAACAGATCATATATGAAACATTACAGAGAGAGAGAGAGTAAAAAAAAAGGCTTGAGGAGCTTACATATTTTATTGGCTTACTTGCCAAACTTTAATAATAGAGAGTCAAGAGTCTTACTTTAATAATAGAGAGTCAAGAGTCTTACTTGCCAAACTTCAATGCCTACATATTTTATTAGCTTCAACACATAAAGGTGAGGATCATCTTCGAACTCTGCAGGGAACAAACAAGTATTGTAATTAAACTAATTCACAGAAAAAATTAATTTCATCTTTGACATACCTTTTATTTTTAATTTCCACCTCATTAGCTTACATTCCCAAACAATTAGTGATAAGCATAACTTAAAAAATTAACAAATTCACAGAAATTTTCAAAAGTGCAATGACACATCTAGCACTGCCCATGTTACCAGTTAAATTTCTTCAGAACAGGACTATACCTGGGTTATCAATCCATGGGTTTTCCACTTGCCCTTATAGTTAGGGTTCTTGATTTTCTGAAGCACCACAAATCTAAAATTAGAAACTGCAACAAAATGGGGTAAAAAATATCATCCACCTTTACAGGTAAGCTTGTGAGTGAGTAAAGGAAATTTTATAGATTCATCAGAAGAAGAAATCAAAAAACAAAAAATAAAAATCAACTTAGATGACTCAATAAACAAGCTAGCCTTCAATTTACAAAAATTCTATCATCTTAGGTGACTTCAAATACATTGGCGAGCCACAACCGTACCTCTCAATCATTTTTCTAACAATTATATGATCATACTTAAAGTGTTTACATATATATCTAACAATAAATGAATAAATGTATAAAAAATAAATGTATAAACAATCATTTTTCTCACATATAGCGATTCTGGTTCAGGGACATTTGCAGATCTATGAAGATCGGCGGAAGAAGAGGAGGTGGCGGCGTGAAAAGAGGGCATCGACGAAGGTGGTAGCGGAGGCAGTGGTGGTCGCAGCAGTCACGATGGCGATGGCGGAGGAGGAGGAGGAGGTGCTCCAGTTGCCTGCGAACGCGAGGAGGAGCGTGCTTCGACATACCTTTTATTTTTAATTTCCACCTCATTAGCTTACATTCCCAAACAATTAGTGATAAGCATAACTTAAAAAATTAACAAATTCACAGAAATTTTCAAAAGTGCAATGACACATCTAGCACTGCCCATGTTACCAGTTAAATTTCTTCAGAGCTGGACTCCTCAACCCTTCATCTTCTGAAACGAAGAGATGACCCTAATATTTCATTGGAGAGGTATTGATCTCACCCGTTGGTTCTTCAAGTGATCTCCGCCAATTAATTTGTAAAACCCTCCAAAATTTCAAAAAACCCTCCAATATTTTTTTTTTCCCAATTGCCGACTAAAGCGTTTTGGTAGCCAAATCTCTACCTACAGCGACTAAAATTGTTTTTCATCGCTGAAAATAAACCAAAAGATAAAAAATAAATTTTTAAAATTCTTTCAGCTACTAAACAATTTAGTAGCTGAAAGTACCTCTACGGCTACAAAAATTTCTTTTAGTCACCAATTGTGATATGTTTAGCTACTAAAAATTTTTGTAGCCGCCAATTGTAACATTTTTAGCTACTAATTTTTTTTTAGTCGCCAATAATCAACATTCCCCTACTAAAAAAAATTAGTAGCTAAAAAGTTGACTTTGGCCGACTAATATTATTTTTGGTAGCCAATTCCAACACTTTTGGCGACTAAATTTTTTTTGGTAGCCAAAAATGATAGCCAAAAATGTATTTTCTTGTAGTGAATGGATGGATGGCAATGGATTGAGAAAGCGGAGGGGTGGTGATGGATGATGGTAAGTAGGAAGTGGCTATTAATTGTAATGGGGGGTTGGGATGGATCGCAGTGGATTAAGAAAGTGAAGGGGTGGTGATAGATGACGGTAAAAGTAGGAAGTGGCTATTAATTGTGGTGGGTGGGGGGGGGGTATAAAATTGTCTAAATTGCCCATTTTCCATTAGTACCGAATATAAATAGAGTGTTAGAATTAATGTCATTTTCAAAATTTAGGGTTTAATTTGTTATTGAGGTCAAACCTTGAGTATTTATTTATTTATTTTTATTTTTGAAAATTGAGAAGCTAATCTTGAATTATTTGTTAAAAATTGTGCCTTTCAAAAAAAAATAATAAATACTTCTGGCTAATACTTTTTTCTTTTTTTTTTTTGCAATTTAGTTTTTGAATTTCTACAACAAAAAATAATCTTTTGAAAACAATATCGTTCACTACTCCATTTTTAAAATTCATTCAATAAGTAATACAAAATTCATTTTTAATTTTTGTATTATTTTAAACAAACAACGTGATTTTGGGAGTTAATTAGCAACAAAGACACAAATGTTTTTCTTTAGTTCTACTGCCTTGTTTTGTTGGGAATTAATTACTGTATTCTCAGCTTGCTGGGACTAAGATCTGCAACTCCCTTAGCCGAATCACGCTGAAGCCAGTACAACCTCTTCTCCAACAGATTTGCCATGGATCTTGGGTTTCAGGTCCTAGCTTTTCTTTTCTTTTTCTGTTTTCTTTGATTTTGGTTGTGGTTGTTGAGTCCGTTGATACTTTTTTTGTGGCTTACCCACTCTGTGGTGAAACATATGTTTTATCTCAGACATACTCTATTACCGAACCTTATGATGGGTTCTGCTTTGCAGTACGAGCACGAGCATGAAATGTGCATCTAAATATATTCATATTTTTTTTCTCGAGTATGCTTATTGCAATATCTCTACTTTGTTTGGTGTAAGTTTTGTTTTTGGATCACTACAAAAAAAAAAAAATCAAGATTTAGTAGCGGCCAAAACTACCGCTAAAAGCAGGAAAAAGTGTCGCTAAAAACTATAAGACCTTTAACCGCGGTTGAAATAGCGACAGCCAAACCGCCGCAATAAGCCTGTCGACATATCCTTATAGTGACGTTTTCCTCAAACGCTGGTATAGTTATTTTTATTGCGACGATCGATGTTGTGACAATTGTAAATGTCGCTATATCTTAAATTTACCGATTACTTGCTAACCTTATAGTAACAGGTCGATTGTTGCTATATTCTTCACTTTTGTGACATTTTGTGAACTGCTGCTACATTTTGACTCTATTCCATCAGTTTTACACTGTCGCTATAGCCATAGAATTCTTTTTGAATTTTATTGACAGCAATGGTTATTAACCGCAATAATAGGCTATTTTTATTATTCAATTACCAATAATATATAGCTTGAAATTTTCAATGATTTGCTAACCATTAATGGTTCTCTCTCACTTATCCCTGCCACTACTACAAAAACAGATAAAGATCACACTTTTTTTGTGTCATGTTTGTTATTTAATCACACATTTTAAGTTTTATTAAAGTGTGATCTTTGGGAGTGTGATTAAAAGGGGTCATTTTTAATCACACCTTTTAAGTGTGATTAAAAACATTTAGATCACACATTTTGAGTGTGATTAATAATATTTAGATCATACCTTTTAAGTGTGATTAAAAACATTTAGATCACATCTTTTAAGTGTGATTAAAAACTAATAAAACATGTGATAATAAACTTTAGATTACACCTTTTAAGTGTAATTAATAACATTTAAATCACACCTTTTAAGTGTGATTAAAAACATTTAGATCACATATTTTAAGTTATTAAAAACTAATAAAACCTGTAATAACAAACTTTAGATCACTGATTAAAAATATTTAGATCACATTTTTAAGTGTAATTAAAAACTAATAAAACCTATGATAATAAACTTTAAATCACATCTTTTAAGTATGTTTAATAACATTTAGATCACATCTTTTAAGTGTAATTAATTACTAAAAAGATTCGACATATTTGAAGAATAATCAATATTATTTTTGTACACGCATTTCAAGAATGTAATACACTATATACTATATTTTGAATCATAACCACATATTCAATGAAATAACGTCATATATTTCATAAATAAAAGTTAAATATGTTCAAAAGTATATACAAAGGAATTAAATAAAAAATTTTAAACTCTGCTTACATATATTAAAAAAAAAAACTTGAAAAACCAAGTCCTTGAATTCTTTGACCATATTTTGCATCTCTCCACAAAATTTCTAACCTGAAAAATAAAAACACAAATTAATTCAGACACCACTAGAAGCATATGAATAAACTAACTATTTGTAGAGATTGTTCTAGTCTTACAAAAGATAAAGTCCGACTAATCACACCCCCTCAAATGTCTTAACATTAAATACCTCTACCATGACATGAAACATGTAATAACAAAATGTCACTTTACCCATAGAAATTGCAAGTTCAACAGAAATTTTACTATAACCAACAACTTAATTTAAGAGGCTCTATCCATCTCAAATATTTAATGTTCTACAAAAGAAATGCAATTGAATGTTAATTGTGCAAATACTTTGAGTGCATTTCAAATATCTGTGGTGTGTTGAATGTCCGTGTCCCATACAAAAACACTTAACAATTAGGCAACCCTAGTCTGCAGCCCTTCATAAATATGCCAAAATTTTGAAAATGCATTCCTTCACTAAAATTTATCATTCAATGAACATGAGTTACCTGCACTGGTAAGAAGAATAAAAAGCAGTACAAGGTTCAGGTTTTCTTCCTGGAAGAGCACTAAATTCCCCTGTTACAAGCAAATATCACCATTAGCTAATCAAATCGACGAATCGAAAACTGAGAACAACACAGACCAAATAAGGGTATAGTTTCAAAACTATTATATTTTAAGGATGTTTTTTGGCTGACAAATGAGAAAATCTGACCTTCTCAGACAAGAATGTCCCTAATAAAGAACCTCCCAAAATAGCCAGCTGCATGAAACAATTTTTAATGGATTAAATTTATCATTGTAAACATCAGCTCGATGAAACTCAAAAAAAAAAGAATGATAATTAAACAATCACATTACCATGTCTGACAAAACTTAAAATTTTGAACTATATATGTTCAATTATATTTAGACTGTCATTATTAAACCTTGCCAACATAGCCTTATCACAGGTCACTAAAGTCACCAAAATTTTAAAATTAAGAGAAAAACATGTATTTTATTTCTTTAGCTGAAAAACTTTTAATCTGCACACGTTGCCAAATCACTCTTTTATCTTCCTGACCCAAAAGCATGTTTCAAAACTAAAGTATTTCTGCTTCTTACACCAGAGATCTTACACTTCTTGGATAATCAATGAGCTATGCTACATGCCATGATAATAAATCCAAATTCAGGAAACAACACACACAAAGAAAGCACACATATGAATGTGTTTAAGCTATTATCATGATCAGTCAAAATTTAAGCATGTAAACCAATATATTATCATGATCAGTCAAAATATTCATATTGCATAAAATTCATGTAGAATGATTTTGTTCAAATGCTTACAAAAATAGCCATCTTAAATGATTTTTTTTTTTTTTTTTGAATAGTAAAATAGGGGTTCTCCTTGGAGGCATCATCTTAAATGGATGTTCATAAGCATCATTCCTATCTCGTCTATTTAATATTAAAAGGGAAAAAAAGAAAAAATAAAAAAATAAAAAGCAATAGTTGAGAAATCAAAATTCATAGACTTTGACAAGCTAAGTTTAAGAAAGTGAATCATTCTAAACCCCTAGAAACAGAAATATATGCATAGAAACAATTTCAGTCAGTGTTGGTACTATTTGCGCCAATACATAAATCTCAATGATCATCAAGATGAACATCAACCAGCAACTAAACACAACTAGAGCTATGGGGCCCCGAAAATAGGCTGTTAGGCATCGGAAGTGGTGTGCGACCACGAGGTGGTCTCTCGGGCCACAGTGTCCCTCTAAAGGGAGGAAACAAGGTGTGTCCAAAAACCGGAGCAAACGGAGGTAATTAAGCGATCTCGAACCGAGCACACAACCGACGGCTCAGAAAATCGAAAACTGGTCTCCAAACAGGAACAGTCGTCTACGACCACAAAAAGTAGCCTACGGCCACTGAGAGATGGTCTATGAGACCTCTCCCTCCCTTCGGAAAGAGAGAATAGAATCTGGTTCGCAAATCGAGACGAAGCACAACAAGTCTCGAAGTCCGGAGGCAAGGCTCTCAGCTGAGACTTCGTGACCTCAGGACGAGCACAACATACGTGATCACCGAGCGCTCAATCGATGACATCTGAGTCTTAAGGTCGGTCAAAAATGGGGTGTCTACATATACCCGTCCTAATGCCTCGACATTTACTTTATGATTTTTTAATTCTTACTTGATGGACACTATATTATGCCAATGAGTTAAGCTTAGTGCATCAACTCTACATATTTTTATGAGAGGAATGAAGAATGAAAAGGCAGCATCTTACAATACAAGTGTGTTTTTCTTGATGGATGAATATCAATGGAGTGTACAATCCCAGAAGTAGTTCCATGAGCCCTTCAACATTATTAATATGAAGAATCACATCACATCACAACAAAAACAAATTGCTTCTACTCAGATGGACGGAGTTGAACCCAACCGTCAAAATATGCAGTTAAGATAATGCAAACAGAACAAAAATAAACACTGAATTTAGAAGCATAATAGAAACTCATCTAAGAAAATGACTAATACCACTAAAGAATATATTAAGCTTCAAGAAATTCCTGCATTGGCGTGTTCCAATTATCAACAAATTATGAATTGCTCCAGTTTTCAAAATAATGGATCTATTGCCATGTGCAAATGGCTTAATTAAAAGGTCTATCAAGAAGCTAAAGAAGTCATTAGAACCTAGAATAATTTGAGTAAAATGTAGACGCAATGTCAATAACATCAAAACTGAAAGTCAAAAAGTGATAAAGCAAGCTTTATATATGTAAATCTAATTATGGTCAAGCACTCCTCCAGTTTGCAAAAATATTATCCAGTTCAAAAAATTTCACAATAAAATCTTCACCATTACTATACAGATAAATAAGTAAGATTAATGAAGCAAAAACCTTCATATGTTAATTTGTATACGAAATAAGCACAAGTACTTATAACCTAAATTCCATGGTTCTCTCTCTTCATCTAAGGTAGGCAAGTACATTGTGCATAATATTCTCCAAAAGATTAGTTAAGTTGAAAAATCAAAATAGATCCACCTAGTATAATTAAGTGCTTCCCACAATATGGTGACAAGAAAGTGCAGCCACCTTTTGCATGCATACTTGAAATAAGATCCTTTTTGCCATCTTCAGCTGCCAAACGATACCATTGAATTGAACATCCCGAAAGTTCTGGAGCACTATCAGAGCAAGGTTGAATCCTTAAATATGAACCCAAAGCTTCAGAACCATCTAATTCATATGAGTGAGCCAAGTTGACAAAGTACACAAAACAGAGAACCAAAGATATGGCCACAATACTTATGAAAATCAGTTACTGTTTCCACAGTTAGTGATGATTTTGATGGAAATCAAACAAGAAAAATCATACATAAACTGATAAAAACAAATGATTCAAACTCAAAAATGGACAGGACTGATACACTAGAAAGGGCCAGTTCCAGTGCACGAGACCTCTTGCCAAAAACATATACCAAAAGCAGGGACAATTGTTAGTTACCTAATAAACATTCTTGTAAGTTGTCATTAATCATATATTCATATATGAGCGCTGTGTTTGAGCCTTCATCACAATACCCAATTAGGGCAGCCAAATTTCTATGATGGATAGTTGTTAAGAGCTCAGCCTGCAATCCAAAAATGAATACCAACTGGTGTGACAATTGAAAGTAATTTTTAGAATGTGTATGAAAGAAAGAGTACTAAAATATTGAAGTGTCAAGAAGTTTGCCTCAGCCCAGAACTGCTCTGATCCCTAACTTGATGATTGAGAGAGCATTTTGACACAACTTCAGTGCCATCTTTCAAGTAGCCAAGATAAACTGTTCTGAATCCTTCTTTCCCGATTACCCTTTCTAAATTATTTGTAATACTCACAACCTCAGAGTATGAGAATCTTCAATTTTTCAACTTCAATGTCCTACCTCCCACATTGCCTTTTAGGAGTAGTTCATGGGCAAAGATGAAATTATACAAGTAAGACTTTAGATGATTGAGAAAATAATTTCTTGAATGTAAACCAAATACCAGAATGAAGGAATATATAGAAAAATTGTTACCTTTATGTTTTCTCCTCTTTAAGCTCCACAAGATAGCTATTGCACTTAAAAATACAATGGAGGAAACCAAAGATGCAACTATGGTAGTGCTCCAATTTTTCTTCTTCTTTGTTGCCTGTTCGCAGGAGTCCGACTGACAAAGATTGGGATTGCCATTTGTACTACAACAAAACATTTTCTAAGAATTATAGAATATTCATTCCAACATTCTTAATGAAACAAAAATGAGAACGAGTCACATATTAATAACAAGGAGGACTTCTCCATCAAAGCCTTAGGAACAGAACCTGTGAGACTGTTGCTTGTTAAATTCCTGAAAAATGCAAAACAAACAATGTTACATATTTTCTCTGCTTCAAGATTTAAACTTAGAAAAAAAAATTTCCACAACTCACAAAATCTCCAAAGCAGGAAGTTCTGATAGAAGCTGAGGCACAGGTCCAGTTAGGCTATTGTATGATAAATCCCTACAAACAAACAAGCTACACTGGTTCAAACTTAATTTTCACCAAAATTTTCTCCTCTTTAATTCTGAAAATTCCTAAATATATATATAAACCCCATAAAAATTTAAAAATAAAAGTCTCTGAAATTTCATTATGTTTAAAAGATGAAAATCATAAAATAGTTGGACAGAAATTGATGCACAGTTCACAAACTCAATATCCAAGTAGTGGAATTAAAATGAGACAAGTCACATTTATATCTTGAAAAACTTATCATTTATGTTGAATGGGTTGCACTGAATCATTTAATAAACTTTGAGACAAAACTCACCAAGCCACAAACCATTCTCTATAGTGCGTCCAAGTCAAAGCCAATTTGAGAAAGATCACCATGAACATTAGTAACCTGTTCCACAATTCAGAACTTATTTTTATGCTATTATTGAATCATTTTTAAATCATAATCACATTCATTGATTTGCCTCCTTATAATTCATGAAAAACTGACCCACATTATTTCCCCCAGTTCTATTCTATCAAAAGTTGCATTTCAAATACTCTATTCTATGATATGCAGCATACCCTAAGGAAAATAACCCATTTCTGAATGTACCTCATTCTTAATTAACTTTGATATTTCCACTTGCTCATCAAGTTTTCCATCCAAGTTCTCAATTTGTTATGTCAAGTGCCTCTTTGTTGCCTGATCTAAAAAAATAAAAATAAAAATTCCACTCACATCTACCTAAACCCCCCAAAAAAATAAATTTATATTTATAATCTTCTTCTCATATTGATTTCCATACTGCAACTCAAACCCTACAATGCAAAGTTTAGGAAAAAACAAAAAAAGAAGAAAGCATCAAGCCGAAAGATAGTTATAGTACTGATCTCCTATGTGCAAAGACTCTCTCTCTCTATCTCTCTCTTTTACACACACACAAAATATTTAAGTTGCATCACCTAAGACACCTACCAAACATCTTAGAAGATCACTCATTTTCCTGCTATAGTATATATATATATATATCATGGGCTCAACATAGTTGCAGACTCTTATCTTATTTATCATTTTCTATAGGAAGGAACATTTGTTGACTACTTTCCCAACCCTGATTCAAACTCTACAAGTGCAACCTAAAATGATTTAACTTCCATTATTTCAACCTACAAACAATCATAACAAAATTAGGAGAGTAACCCATTTCAAGACATCAAATTTTATGCTCAAGACAACCAAAATTAGGAGAGTAACCCATTTCATTTCTAATTTTTTGAGCAAAATGCTTGATAATCTACCAAATTCACAAAATTTACTAATATAAAAAGAAAAAAACAATGTCTTTAAACTCACTTTTCCCCAATAAAAAGACCCCAGTTAAACAATAGCCTCATTCACATACAAATTCAACAACAAAACCACCCAAAATCAGCAAAAATATTCAAAACCCATGAACCATCTATGGCAGATCTGTGCAATTAAACAATGTTGATACCAAAAAAAATCAAAATCCACCTCCAACCTGAGAATCCATATCTAGATCCTTCTGATCTCCGTAGCAAATTAGAACAAACCAATCAAACCTTTCAGTGTTTTAATCAGAAAAAAATAAAAAAATAAAAATGCAAAATTTACAATACCTTTTGGGAAAAACACAATAGATTTGTTCTTTTGAAGAAGCTTTCTATCAAAAGCACCTTCACATTTCTAGTATTATTTTCTATCATTCTTTCTTATGAACTAAACAGAGAATCATATATATATAGAAGAGTAAGAGCATATATGTATATGTTACCAGGTGAAGTTCCATCAAAGCCATAGAGCTCGTTCATTATCGTCAACTTCCCTACCCCAGGCGGTCCGATCACCCCAATCACCGTGATATCAGTATTATCCGTCAGAAACTACAATCAATCTCAAATTTCTCAGATTTTTATAGAAATTTAAAACCCTAGAATTGGAAAGAGAACTATTAGTCTCTGAAGTAACCTAGCCAGTCTCTATATATTCAGATGTGTTGAGAGAGAGAGAGAGAGAGAGAGAGAGAGAGAGAGAGAAATTACAGGAAGGATGCGATCGGTGTGGAAGTCCCAAGAATTAGAAATTAGGTCCAGAGAAGCGACGGAGGGGAGACGAGAGCAGATGGAGACGAAATCGTCATTGGCAAAGGCTCCATGGAACACAAGAATCGGTGGTCGCTCTCTTCTCCAGCGTTGTCGCGATCTGTGCCAGTTGAGGTGGATCGAAGCACCTTACGCTTCTGAGGCAGACGAACACCACCGTCTCACCCTACTCTTCCCCAATCAGGCATCGCCGACGAGGTTAGGGTAATGGGACACAGTGGTGAGGGTTTGGAGAGTGGTACAGGAGCTCAAGGTTAGGGTTTCAATGAAGGCTCAGGTTGAGACGAAAATCTAAGAGACTGATACAGCGATCTGTGAGGCTGAGACGGTTTGGAGAGAGAGAGAGTGTGTGTTACATAGTGTATAGAAAGAGGGCTATGCACCTTTCGATTTTGGCGCCAAAGTAATTCATTTTGGCGCCTATTTTTATTTTGATCATACTATTTATGATAGAAATTGTGTGTTGTGAAAAGTAAAATACTTTTAACGATTAGTATATGTGCGTCATGAAAAGTGTATTTTTTAACGACAGATTTTTTATGCATCAGAAAAAAGTGTAATATTTTTAACGGCTGATTTTTTGTGCACCGTGAAATATTTAATATTTTTAACAGGTAGTGTACACGTGTCGTCTATAATTGATGTATTAACGACATGCTATATGCGCGTCATAGAAACTTTTATTATTTACGGCTAACATTGCAAGTCGTAAAAAAATTATCATTATTAGTATTCACAGCCTACGCAATAGACGCGCCGTGGTTGGAAAATTATTTACGACATACAAAAAAAACACAAGTCGTAAAAGTGAGAAACCACGGCTTGCATTTATTGTATGTCGTTAATATAGAGCCGCAAAAACTCAATTTTGTTGTAGTGTTTAGAAATATTGAATAATTTCTTAAGCCAATTCTTTTGTTTCCAAGGTAATCCGACAACATCACCATTTCATCTCTCAATAGAAACTGTCAACCACACTACACAGATTTACTGTCAAATTATTTCCATCAACCGTGTGCCGTCTAAGATCATATCTGTGTATTTCTAAGAGAAATTAGCAAAAACCTAACAAGCTTTGAGTTCCCAAGATCGAATTTATAATCATACAAACCCCAAGCAAGAACAAGAAATCAATAGATACATACAGATTTCAATAGACTAGCATGAAATTGATCAAGAAACATAACAAAGTGAAATCAAATCAAACTCAATCTAATAGGATCTTCTAACCTAAGAATGAATTTATTCCTATAAAATCTAGAGAGAGAGAGAGAACCAAAAAAAAAAGATGAAAAAAGATGGAATAATTGAGAATATTTACATTCATCTAAAGAACTATAAAATACATACAAAACATAGTTAGGGTGTTTAATTACCTGTAACTCTCTAGGGTTTGGTCATCCTTCAAGATCTGTCATCGCCGACACTGAGGTGGTGGTTCTGCGACAGAAGGAGGTGCTGCGCGACGAGCAACAGCGGCGGATCGGTGATGGCAGATCCAACACTGATGGTGATTGTTGTTGTTGGGGATGGGAGTTTCAACGCTAGGGTTTCTATAGGGGAGAGAAAGATAATAAAACTCTAGCTATTGCTAAGTGAGTAGTGAGAGGGTGAGAGGGGTAGACGAGAAGAGAAGGGGTTTGATTTGTTCAACTGTGGATACTATTATATATATACATATATATAAATAAATACTAAATATAATCACTCTTAATTAAAATATATATATATATATAATCACATTTAATTAAAAAGTGTGATTAAAAAATATAATATATATAATCACACTTAATTGAAAAGTGACATAAAAAATAAATATTATCACACTGTCAAAAAGTCAAAAAGTCATTATCCTATTTAAGTCACATCATCTTATTTAAATCACATCACCTCTCTAACAGATCACTTCAAACCCAACCCATATTTCATAAAAAGTCAAAAAGTACACTTATTTAGATTATCCCAAACCAAAGTGTGATTAAAATATCAATCTAATTTTTTTTATCACACTTTTAATAAAAGTGAAATATTTTCATTTATCAAAGTGTGATCTTTAACTGTTTTAGTAGTAATGATATAATTACACTTTAATTAGAAGGTGTGATTAAAAATATATATAAATAATCACACTTTAATTAGAATGTGTGATTAAAAAATATATATATATATATAATCACACTTACTTAAAAAGTGTGATTAAAAAGTAGTAGTGTATATATAATCACACTTTAATTAAAAGGTGTGATTTAAAAATATATAAATAATCACACTTTAATTAGAATGTGTGATTAAAAAATATATATATAATCACACTTGTTTAAAAAGTGTGATTAAAAAGTAGTAGTGTATATATAATCACACTTTAATTAGAAAGTGTGATTAAAATATATATAATCACACTTAATTGAAAAATGACATAAAAAATAAATATTATCACACTCAATCAAATTAAGTGTGATTAAAATATCAATCTAATTTTTTTTATCACACTTCCAATAAAAGTGAGATCTTTTTTTTTTGTCACAGTGTGATCTTTAACTATTTTTGTAGTAGTGTGCTCACATTATATATATATATATATATATAAACACTATTTTATTCTAATGGCTCAATAGTCAATAATTGTAAAAGGTAAAAGAGTCTACATTTTCATAATCCCAAATTATCCAAAACACCTTAATTAAAGGGTTCATTACACAAGCTTGTAATACAAAATAGATCCAATATTTCTAGCAAACTAATAGCCCACACCATAATCTAAAAGGTACATATAAACTTGTCACATGACAATAGTACTCAAAAGCATTACTCACGACGCCATTTTATAAAGACCTTCGTAAAAAATGTTCAAATCGACAAATTACGTCCATTGTTTGATGCTTTCATATTGTCTTATTTCCTGTAATAAAAATGATTGAATGAGCATAAGTATCATTTTGAATTTCAAAAGCTATAAAGAAAATTTAGACTACAAATAATTCTCGACAAGTCTTATTTTTTTAGTAAGTATGTGGTTTACATATCAAAAAATAAAGATTACAATGAAGTTGAAGTTGAAGATCATATTTGCATATTAAGATAGATCAGCCATTAAGAGAGAAACAACAGCAAATGGAAAAAAATATATATATAGTAATGTAGAAGTGTAAGTGGCTAAAGATTTAAGAAACAAATTGTTCTCAATTTGTGCAGTTAGTTCTTCTTGTTGTTCTTTAAGCACTGCAAGTTAATTTCTAAGATTAGATATGGGTGAAGACATCTAAAGGGCTTAGAACATGTAAGCAAGCAACTAACAATTATTAATGTCTAGGAAATTATATCTAAATATGTGCCCGACTCGCCTCTGCTATTACTCCTAAGTATAGAACTCTGGTGAAGAACACCATCCACAAGGCCTTTTAAGTTTGGATCTTGCTTTCAACTTCTGTTTTGCCAAGTGGTCTCTTGCCTATAGGTAATCACTAATAGCCTCCTTGCCTCACCTTACTCTCAATCTCTCGTAGTCAGCGAATCACTCAAGAAGAGGATTATATTATGAAAGAACAACGGTTTTGAAAATGGGCTTTTATTCATATACCATAAACATAAACATTACAATTGAAAGACTCTTACAAACAGATGTTCTTTTTTTTGTAGATGAAAAGAAGTTATTACTCATGCTATATGTAATACTCTCTATTTTTCAATGTGCCCTTGAACATAAGACTCTCCTTCCTTATATATCCTGAAGGCAGACTCCAAAGCTCGGATGTTAAACATATCCGAATAAAATATAATATGCCAACAAGTTCGCATTTGGACTGAATCAGCCAATAAAGGCAAACATTAGTAACAACCACTAAATCAAGCAACCAATAGCAGCATCCAAGGGTCTATTTTTTAATTGTATACTACAGTTTAATCCATTGCTGATATTCAAATTTGTTCAATTGCCCAATTATCTATTTCACTAGTTTGTTTGGTATTTTTACAGTTGTCAGTAAATGAAGCAAAGTAGAAAGTCAACCTATCAAATCCCAATTTTGTCCAAACCAACTAACATTTTATTGGTAGAGAAGCCATTAACATTGGTTCTAAATTTCTGTCAATGTATGTGTATTGTAATGATGACTTACCCCGATTAAAGGCTGCATTTCATGACTTCCGAAAGAGGATCTCTAATGTGTTTGTGGAGAAGCCTGGCTCGAAAAGCCAATAGATCCATCTGTCTCCTAATTTATACAACAAAATTTGAACAATAACTAATGTTTGGAATATGGTTTCATCGATTTGTGGTTGTGGACTCAGCTAGACCCGTCTTCATGGCATGATTCCTGTTTGGAATATGGTTTTCAAATATCATTTTCTTCAATTTTTCATTTTTATAAAATTTTTGGCAAAATTATAGAAATAACTTCAAGATTTGAACACAACAAATTAAACCTTTCACTTTTTAATTGTTTCAGTTTAAATTCTTAACTTTTGAAAATGTATCAATTGTAACAATAACTAATGGAACATAGGCAATTTAGATAATTTAATCTTTTTTGTTGATTGTGTTGGACGGCGATAGTGATTATGGACTGGGGATGGAATGAAAGAAATGGCAATGAGTTAGGGAAGGGAAGTAGTAGTGGATGAGTGGAAAAATGAATGGATGGATGGCAGTGGATTGAGAAAGCGAAGGGGTGGTGATGGATGACGGTAAAAGTAGGAAGTGGCTATTAATTGTAATGGGGATTGGGATGGATGGCAGTGGATTGAGAAAGTGGAGGGATGGTGATGGATGACGGTAAAAGTAGGAAGTGGCTATTAATTGTAGGGGGGAGAGGGTAGTAAAATTGTCTAAATTGCCCATTTTCCATTAGTACTGAATATAAATAGAGTGTTAGAATTAATCTCATTTTCAAAATATAGGGTTTAATTTGTTATTGAGGTCAAACCTTGAGTATTTATTTATTTATTTTTATTTTTTGAAAATTGAGAAGCTAATCTTGAATTATTGGTTAAAAATTGTGCCTTTCAAAAAAAAAATTAGAAAATTTTGAAAATTGAGAAGCTAATCTTGAATTATTGGTTAAAAATTGTGCCTTTCAAAAAAAAAAATAGAAAATACTTCTGGCTAATACTTCTTTTTTTTTTTTTTGCAATTTAGCTTTTGAATTTCTACAACAAAAAATAATCTTTTGAAAACAATATCGTTCACTACTCCATTTTTAAAATTCATTCAATAAGTAATACAAAATTTATTTTTAATTTTTGTATTATTTTAAACAAACAGCGTGATTTTGGGAGTTACTTAGCAACAAAGACACAGTTGTTTTCTTTAGTTCTACTGCCTTGTTTTGTTGGGAGTTAATTACTGTATTCTCAGCTTGCTGGGACTAAGATCCGCAACTCCC